CTCCTGCTCGCGCCTCAGCTGCTGCTCGCGCCTCTCCTTCTGCTCTCGCCTCAGCTCCTGCTCGCGCCTCTCCTGCCCGAGTCTTCTCTCCCCCTCGCGCCTTAGCTGCTGCTCTCGCCTCTCCTCCTGCTCACGCCTCTCCTCCTGCTGGAGCCGCTCCTGCTCCTGCCTCAGCTCCTGCTCACGCCTCTCCTGCCCGAGTCTTCTCTCCTGCTCGCGCCTCTCCTCCTGCTCACGCCTCTCCTCCTCGCGCCTCAGCTGCTGCTCGCGCCTCTCCTCCTGCTCGCGTGTCAGCTGCTGCTTGCGCCTCTCCTCCTGCTCATGCCTCTCCTCCTGCTCACGCCTCTCCTCCTGCTCACGCCTCTCCTCCTCGCCCCTCAGCTGCTGCTCGCGCCTCAGCTGCTGCTCGCGTCTCTCCTCCTGCCGGAGCCTCTGCTCGCGCCTCTCTTCCTGCCGGAGCCTCTCCTCGCGCCTCAGCTCCTGCTCGTGCCTCTCCTGCCCCAGTCTTCTCTCCTGCTCGCGCCTCAGCTGCTGCTCTAGCCTCTCCTCCTGCTCTCGCCTCTCCTCCTGCTCGCGCCTCAGCTGCTGTTCGCGCCTCTCCTCCTGCCCGAATCTTCTCTCCTCTTGCCGGAGCCTCTCCTCCTGCTCGCGCCTCAGCTGCTGCTCTCGCCTCTCTTCCTGCTGGAGCCTCTCCTGCTCGCGCCTCAGCTCCTGCTCACGCCTCTCCTGCCCGAGTCTTCTCTCCTGCTCGCGTCTCTCCTCCTGCCTGAATCTTCTCTCCTCTTGCCAGAGCCTTTCCTCCTGTTCGCGCCTCAGCTGTTGCTCGCGCCTCTCCTCCTGCTGGAGTCTTCTCTCCTCTTGCCAGAGCCTCTCCTCCTGCTGGAGACTCTTCTGGTCGCGCCTCAGCTCCTGCTCGCGCCTCAGCTCTTGCTCGTGCCTCTCCTCCTGCCGGAGTCTTCTCTCCTCCTGCTCTCGCCTCAGCTGCTGCTCGCGCTTCTCTTCTTGCCCGAGGCGCTCCTCCTGCTCACGCCTCAGCAGTTGTTCTTGTCTCTCCTGCTCGCGCCTTTCCTCGAGCCTGTGCCTCCGCAGCTGCCTCTCTTCTTCTGGGCTCTCCTTCTTCAGCTCCTGTCGCTCCTGCCTTTGTAGGCGCTCATCTTCCTTCTGGAGCGCCCTCTCGCACTGCTCTTGTTCCTGCCGTGGTTGTTGCTCCTTCTCGCCATGGTCCCTTCTCAGCTTCTGCTTCTCTCGGCTTTGACGTTCTTCCTCAGCAAACTCCTCTGCATCCCGACCCTTGTGCGTCCGCAGCTGTTCCTCTGCCTGGCGTTCTTCTAGTTCTTTCAGTTCTTGCCTTTGCAGCCGCTGCTCCTCGTCTTGAGGCTGTTCAAATCTCTCATGTTTCTTTCTCTGGTCTTCTTCCTCAGCGCTCTCCAGTTCGGGCCTCTTCTGCCAGCGTTGGCGACCAGGTTCTTCGTCTACTTCTCTGTCCTGGCGCTCGAATCTCCTTTGGTCTTCTTGCCTGCGATCTTGTGACAGGCCGCCCTTTCTCTCATCCTGGACTCGCTTTTCCTCATCTAGCACTGTGGCCTGACCAAGAGCGTAATAACAAGCTTGAGCCACCTTGAAAACGAACAGGAGGAATTCATTGAAATCAATGACTCCATTAGTGTCGCGATCCAGAAGTCCCAGGATCGTTTCTACCGTCTCAGGGTCATGTGGTCTCTATGAAAAGATAAAAACAAAAATTTTAATATGTTACTTATAGGCAGTACAATTTACTCAGACACTTATGCTAGCTATGCTAACACTCAAGAGACACAGCACTTAGAACACCCAGGGTATATCAAGTCTTGTTTCTCTATGAAAAATGTGAACATCTCATTTCAAGCACAGTTTGTTGGAGATTTTAAAAAATATAATTTAGTGCTGACCAAAAGCACACAAATTCTTGAAATTTGGAAGCACATTTGAATCCCTCCAACTCTAGTTTAATTTGACATTTTTGGTAGAAATGTGGATAATGCCATCATATACATGAAATATTTGCTTCCAAGTTAATACTCAGACTACACAGTCAATTAACTACCCTCAGACTCAGAAATGACTGAAGGATGTATTGTAGACTTGCCAAAGTACAAAATGAATATAAGCCATCAGTCCTTTTTCTGGTCTTTTCTGAGAAGACAATTCATAGCCCTAAATTAGTGGAGAGATATCCTTTTCATGTTAGTTCTTACCTGAAGGACAGTTCCAAATTCCCTTTCAAGGAGGTTCTTTAGGTCTTTCTTGCTTAGTGCTGCTCCATCACAATCATGTGAGGCATATTGATTGAAAATTTCAGTGATGTCAAAAATGCTTCTCAGAAGTGGAGACATTTTTTTTTCCTTTCTTCAAGTTCAAGTAAACCTAAAACAATAAAATAGGATCCAGAACAAAAAGTCTGTTTCTGCTTCTGGAAAGGCTTCATTAATACTGTTTTAGGCATATCTCTAAATAATTTCACTTTTCAGCAGTAGTTATTTTTCATCTGGATTTTCAGAGCATTTTATCTCTGAACATTGTATTCAGGGGGAAATGGAAGAGATATCCTGAGAAGTTCTAAGCCAGGAAATCATCTTCAGACTATCAAATAGCCAGTTTTTCATTGTCTATCCAATCTGGATTGTCCATATCATTTCCTTCTCCCCTACAGCTCTCCAATTCAGAGCAGACAGTGAAGAGTACATGAATTTAAATTTTACATATTGCTACCCATAAGAAACTACTAAAGTTAGGCAAAGAGGATAGGTGAAAGCTTAAGTGAAGGAAGATTTGAGAGTATCTTAAAATGGATGCAGCCTTATATAGCAAATTGTGCCAGCAAAACATGTATCAGCAAATAGAACAATTAAAAAGAGAATGTGAGTTATTTCCCAACATTATAATCCATAAATGATCTAGGTATAATTCAGAAATTATCAGTTCTAAAATTAAATCCTATTTTGTTCTAGTCAAAAGGTGGCATTGTAACATTCAGACATGCTAATGCAGAAAACAGAGGGTGCATGTTACTTGCCTTAATGTTAACTCAGATTTAGGATGGATATTTACAAATTCAATTATTGAAAGCTCCTGAGAGAGCCTTCCTGATTGACTGTCAGAGTCAGTGGACCAAACTGAGTGTGAAAAACTTTGAATGATATTGGTTTGCTTTTGTTAAACCCAAATAAACCATTTGAATCTTAGTACTAGAAAAAAAATTAATAGATATAGCTCAATAGTAGAGCACTTGCCTAGCATATGCAGGGTAGAACGTTTGATCCCAGGACTGCAAAAACCAAACCAAATCAAATCAACCAGCAGCAGATCAATGTTAAAAGAATATATGGATGGTTTTGCTGGCTGGGTGTGCATAGTGATTTATCTAGGTGACTTTTTCATCTGCATCTAATCTTTAATACCTCAGGATGCCATAACTGTATGAAGATAGCCCATATGGTATGAAAAGAGGCCAGAGGGTTGGCAAACATTTCAAATGGCAATTATTGGGAAGATGAGACCCATTAGAACTACACATAATCACCTCCTGATGTGCAAAAACATTGACTTAAGAGCCTTAAGAAAAGGTCTATGTCCCTCCAAGTGATGGCTCCAACCATAAGAAGATAACATGGAATAAATGAGAGCCAGCCATCAATGTAGGATACTCATCCCTTCTGGCACATACCACCTGCCCCCATTCTCCAACATTAAATGGCTCAAAAAATGAAGAATCATACAGAAGAATATGACCCACACGGAATGGGACTTACCCACTTCACCAGAGGAAGAAGTCGAGTGCTCGATGACACTGCTGGCAAGTGTACTGGGTAACTGGAAGCTGGATCTTTTATAGTGGTTTTAATTGTGCCCTGGAGAGCAACTTGGGAAGGAGACACCCACTCTTGTGGGATGGGCTGATTCATTCCATGCCTAGCTCCACCTCTGTCTCTATGAATGTCTTGTTTATCTCACTATTTGCTCACGTAGCTATTTAGCACGAGGTTCAGAGGCCTTGCCTCCTGACAGGGTACTGGCCTCATCTAATATGGAAGGATAGAATATTTAGCAGATTCTCTGATTTTTTGGTTACAATTAAATTAAACAATAAAAAGGGATAAATATTCTGAACCTTAATTGATTATGGTTTTTTTTGTTTTTTTTTTTTTTACAAAAGAGTAACTTCCAAGTCGTTACTTTATAAACAATATAAGTTCTAGGCTGAGGTTACATAAAATCTTGGAAATAAATTTAAGAAAACCAATTAATTTCTCCATGGCATATGAATAGTCCATGAGGAGCTGATCATAAGCCCTGCCTGGAGCAATTCTAGAACAAAGAGGTGTGAAAGGAATTGTCAAACTTCTCTAACAATGCAGGTGAGAAAAAAATTTACATTTGTATTCTTAGGTTTTATCATGATAAATTTTCCTACAGCCTGGGGATTATTTCCACAGTAAATTTTGGAGGGTATCTTAAAATATGGTTTTATTAAATTTTTATAAGAAAACATAAAAATCATGAAATTTTATTCTTAGAGATATTAGACCTAAATGAAGTTTGCTCATTTCTTTTCTCATCAGCATATTGATGCTGGTGGAGAAAAAGCGCTAGTGTAATGCATTATTGTAGATACAATCATCCCGCTTAGCCTAAGTTACTAATGATTATGACATCTAAACACTTGAGTCTGCTTCTTCTGGAAGCACATTATGGTAATCGGTCATTCTTGCCCATTATAGACATCAGGGCTTTCTTAATACTTATGATCATTTGTGAATCTCGGGGCTGTTTTATTGTAAGGAACTAGATTTTATTCCTGGTTGTCAGCAACTGCCATTCGTACATTTCAGACTGTATGAAACTTTGGAAACTTCTTCATTCTAGGTTTATGGAGACTATTAAGTGATTCAGTGACTTCTCTGCATTTTTGTCTCTTCTTTGTCCAACGGAAGGAAGTATTAGTTTTCTGAATTTTGAGCAAAATTTAGGGTCCTATAGAGGAATGTGAAACTATGGAACCTAAATCTTGATGACTATTCCTTTATGTGCAGCTAGGTACAGATGATAGTGGAGTTCAATTGTATTTGCCTCGTCACTTGCTGACACTGGAGATGTGGGGTTTAGAGGAAGGTGGATGTGACAGGAGATGGGAAAACTATAACTCTGGTTCACTTCTGCCTCAAGGGCTTTAGAACAGAAGTCTGTGATTTAGTTTTTTTGGAGCTATCAGAACTTCACTACTTCTTGGACACAATGAATCTATTTGCTGTGGCAGCTCCTTAGGAAGTGTGAAGACTTACCTATTTTCCTTCCATTTAGGTTTTACACAGTACTGTTAAGTGTTGAATTCTAGGTCAGGAGCATCGTGAGTACTGTATTCACTGCAACTACACACAAGTCCTCATGGGATCTCTCACTGTTTGTCTCTGTCTGTCTCTGTTTCTCTGTCTGTTTGTCTGTCTGTCTGTTTGTCTCTCTGTCTGTCTATCTGTCTCTCTCTGTGTCTCTGTCTCTCAGCAGTATATTTTTTTCTGTATGCTATTAAAGAGATTCCCTGGAAAAACCCTGCCTTATGTCTGCTTCTCTTTTTATTCACGTATGTGTGATTTGTTGGGGGATCTTCAGCCCAGTTTCCCCACTCTAAATGAGCTAGATCTTAAATCCAATAATGGCTTTCTCAGTTATTTTCATTTAAGGTCAGTACAGTGTTTCCCCTACTCTATTTCTGGAAATGGATCCAAAACATATCTATAGTATTACACTGGTACCTGGCTTGGACTCTTTATTATAGAACATTTGAAATGAGAAAATAAAATTCCTACCACTTACGTGCTTTAACTACACATAATATTTAAGCTTCAAAATTTATACATCAGTCATAAAGTGCCAGAATCTCTGGGAGGTGGGACTGTGATGGAGTAACAACCAACCAACCAACCAATCAACCCACTGAAGTATTAGATTTTCCTGGCCTTTATTTCATCTGAGGGCTTATTTCCCATTTTCTTTGTTAGAACTCAGAAAAGTAAGACAATAGATTTGACTTTCAATGGCATTTACCAGGTTCAGACCTGCCTGTAATCAGTTGGAAAACTTCTAAATGAAAATTTAGATCAAACAAGGAAGGTCCCAGTGTCATCTTCAGTTTAAAGGACTTTTTTCTAAGAACTCAATAGGAACCATGATATTGATGCAGTGGGAAAATGTCCAAGGCAGGATGATTTTAGATTCTTTTGTAAGCTCTCTAAATGCCTCTTTAAAGGAGATTTTTTCCTTTAACATAATGTGTTAAATCTTTTAAGTTTTCCTATTGTTTCTTCTCATTCATTGGCCCACTTCCTGAGACCCCCCCCCATGACTACCAGTCTAAAATCTAATAGTTTACTTGAGGGTCCATATAAGTTTAACCTCCTTTCTTTTTTTTTTTTTTTGGTTTTTCTCCGGTACCGGGAACCAAACTCACGACCTTGCGCTTGCCAGGCAGGTGCTTTTGCCGCTGAGCTAAATCCCCAGCCCCAGTTTAGCCTCCTGTCAAAACCTTCCTTGACCTTTGATCTTTCAGTGAAAAATTCCCCCCCACAGCATGCATGGTCACCTTCATACAACCTAGTGCTAATGTGTAATTTTCATGTTCTTTAATTTAATGGATGCTTTTTTTGTTTCTCAATTATGTTTTAAGTTCCTTGAAAGTAGCGCTGTATCTTTTCTTCTTATGAAGAGCTTAATAAAATCCTTGCTTATATGATATAATGTTGTTGCATTGTGGCAGTTTAAGTGAACAACAGGTCAGAATGGGATGAGCTGCCTACTCTGGGATTGATCATCTGTTTGGGTGATGGCTTGAGGATGAGGGTACTCACAATAGTGGGACTCAGCCCTTCTGAGGCCTCTTTCTAGTTTCACCACTTACAAGGCAGATGATAAGGGAGGCCATACTCCGCCGCTCCCTTCTCTCATGTCCATCACTTCACCCCTCTGTTAAATTAGGAGCTGTAAGATATGAATCCCTTCCTCAGAGGGGAGCTGTGATAATTACAGCTTGTAAAGCATTTTGTGAATCTCAGGTATAAAAGGGATAATTATTATGATCATTAATAATTCTTAATTTTTATCTTCTTCAAGGTAAATTATCCTTACTTTAATTACACCCCCACCCTGTTAGTAATTATACCTCTGAGAGTCAGCAGATGGCTTCATCTCACGTCATGCCATGCAGGGTGACTGGTATGGGTACCCAGGAAGAGCACTTCCACCTTTTACCCACTTCTGCTGTCACCTAGAGTGGCAGAGGGCTCCTGGCTTTCTGTTATTAAACTAGTCCTTGATTTCAAGTCATTTGTGTTCTCAGATCTACAATTGTGTTTTTATCCTAACCAGAGGCTCCCCAACTGGAAGAGCTTTGGGATTTGTCAAGAGACACTCTGAATGGGACCGATGAATTTAATTTTTATAATTGAATGAATATCATGACGGAAGGAAGCAGATTCTTTTGACTAGGCTATAGAGGCTTTGTGATATCTATTATGAAAATGTTCAGAGGTGCTGTATAAGAAGGCCTCAACTCCTCAAGGGTAGAAGTGTTGTGTGACATTCTCTATTCTTCTTGGTACAGCTGTCCCTTGGTGTCCATAGGGGGTTAACCCCAGGATCCCTATGGATACCAAACTGCAAGACTGCTTCAGGTCTTTATACAAAATGGCATATTACAGTATTTACATAAAACTTAGTCACATCCTTCTGTGTACTCTATCTTTAAATTAATTGTAATATTTAATATAATATAAATGTTATGCAAATAGTGGTTATATGATATTGTTTAAAGTATAACATAGTCTAGTGCCTTGTACCTTGCCTGGAGTAGAATAGAGGGCTCAACAAATGCTTATCAACCAAAAGAGACCTACTGAGGGAAGAACAAAGACTTTATGATTATTCCCTAAACAATACAGTGCAATATTTCTTTTTGTTTTAAACCTTAAAACTCACTAAAATAGTTGTACAGTGAACATTCATATTAGCCTTTTAGCTATTCTAAAAGGTGATTAATTGGAACTTTTCAGGCAGTTTTCTTTATCTGCAGATGCAGAGTGCTGTGGCTGCTGATTTCTGGGTATTTGACCAAATCCAGCCTAGCTCCAGGTTCTCTGCTGGCTTACTGTCAATTCTGGGCAGAGGGTGAATCATTGAAGGCTCATCTATAAGTGTATCTTTGGAAAGTGATTCCCAAATTACAAAAATACTGCTTTCAGCAGCACAAAGTGGGCCTTTGAAGTGAGCCATATCCTATACATATTACAAATGGGAACTACTTACAACTTCTCATAGAGCAGAAAGTCAGTTTTTCTGACATTAATATAATCCTTTTGATCTAGACCAGCATATTTCAAAATTAGTTTTTGGGGCTGGGGATATGGCTCAGCAGCACAAGCGCCTGCCTGGCAAGTGTAAGGCCTTGAATTTGATTCCCGGTGCCAAAAAAAAACAAAACAAACAAAATTAGTTTTTGGAGTTTCTTCTGTAATGCTTTTTAAGGTTCAAAACTCTTTGAAAATCTTAGACTAAAAGCCCTAGAGTATTAGTTTATAAACCCTCATTTATTCCATGAGCTTCCACAGTGCCTTGCTACCCAGATTATCAAAAACAAATTAAGCACCTGGAAAAGGGAAGGAACTGCACTTGGTGAGGAGTAAGCACCGGAAAAGACACTATCCTGGATTGTACGATAGTTGTAATCTACAAGTGCTCTACAATTTAGAGAAAGGGACCACAGCTGGGTGAAGTAGCTTGGGAAGGCTTCAGTGTCTTATTCAGG